ACCGCGGATACTTTTTAGATGACCCAATACATCGTATACAAATTAATAAGAATAATCGCATTGGTTTAAGTTTTCTTTTCAGTTCTTTTTAATTTTGTGCATATTGTATTGTTTTAATAATAAATAAGAATAAAAAGAAGCTAGTGAAAGTCAGTACGGTTTAAAGTGTGCAATGTAATTTAATCATTAAATTGTTTAAAAGAATTGTTTTAAAATAATTATTGTATTATAAAAATGTTTAAAATCATGACTGTTAAAAATAATTTTTATACAACTATTTTAAACAATCATTTTAATGATCCAGTATTTTCTTAATTACAGAAAAAGCATATTATTTACATATATTTATCATGTCAAATATTGCACATCACAACACGCTAAAACATAATAATAAGGAATATATCTTTATGATATAATAAATTTTGTTTTAGTTATGAAATTATATTGCGTACTTTCAACTGCGCCGATTCTTATAAATTTCTTTTTAGCCTTGTTTATTATTTATATTCAGAGACTCCTACCAATTTGTTGTGTTTTGATTATACTGCAAAGGTATTTTTTTTTATATAGTTTATATATAATGTTTAGCAGTATTAATACAACATAAATTTATATATTAGTAATATGTTAGAAACAGATAAAAATTTTTCTTTTTACAATATAATTAAAAAATGTTGGAGTATTATATTAGATGTAGTAAAAAGAAATCCATTATTTTTGCAATAGATGGCTTTAGTAATCTGTATCTCGTCTACGCATGATACAGATTACTAAAGCCATCTATTGGAAAAATAATGGATTTCTTTTTACTACACCTAATATGTATGAGTTATTATATATTGGGTCATCTATTAGGTGTTGGAATTAATTCGTAGCGTTTTTTAATGAAAGAATGTTATTTATTTCACATGAGCATTAAAAAATACATTAATGAAAGTACTTCCCATCACTTGTAAAACGCTACGAATTAATTCCAACACCTAATAAAAAGTATCCGCGGTTTTTTGTCACTAGATATGTGTTGATGGTCATATATCTAGTGACAAGTACCGCGGATACTTTTTAGATGACCCAATATTTTGAGTGATATTTAAAAATATTTTTAGTTCTTGTAACAATATACAATAACATATTATTCATTCTTCAATATCCATTCAGACTTAAAAATTCAATGTTTTTCATTATTTGTGTTTATTTTGATCAACAAATGTTACTTAATCTCAAGAAAATAAAAAAAGGAATTAAAAAATATTTTTAATTATATTTTTGAACAATTTTTTTCATTTAATTCTATTATGAAGAAGTAGTAACTATTTATATTAACATGATTATACAAAGACCTATGGCATCCTCAATATTTTTTCTAAAAATTATTTCACATTCACTATAAAAGAGTAATAATATATTAACGTTAATATAGGTACAATTAATAAAATTAATCCATATTTTTTGTAGTTCATGACTAAATAACCCTATAATTGAACAGTATAACTTTTATTCAATTTAACTGTTTTTAATCATTCAACATTTTCATAATTACAAAAAACATTATTATCATACATTTCTTATGTTAAGTGTCATACATATCAAGTTTCTTTTGGCTTCAGCTTCATCTCTATTGCATCTTTGAATTTCTTCCAGATTTCTACTACTATATTATCTATATTATCTAATGTTAATGTTTCAAAGTCATCATTTTGTATTAAACATACATTGTGTAACAACACAATACGCTAAAACATGATAAGGAATGTATTCAATCAATCCCATGACTAAATAATGAAGAAGGCTCCGCCAACGTTCTTTCAATAATCCGATAGCTCTTTCCACATGTATACGAGAAGAAGAGAGACAAAAGATATAATTCTTTTGTCTCTGTAAGATGATCATTATCAGTATGGCACCATTAATTGCTTCAAGAGTGGATAAGCAGCATCTCCTATCAGATGGCTGTCATCTGGAAATTTTGTTGAATCAGAAACGTAATCTTGTAAGGCTGACAATCGGAACACCCTAGCATCGTGCACAGATCCTACATTTTTCACATACACGTGGGTGAAAAGACGCTTGTGATCATAAATTACCTATAACATAAAAATAATTATATTTAATTTTTTACAAGCAATAATAGAATTCAAAATAACAAACAATATACTTGGGCTTGAATGGAATGATGACCTTTCCTATTTACATATGCTTCAGGATTTTCCTTAAGAGCTAGTATATTGAACATGCGCCAACAATTCCTGGAAAGCCATTAGCATCAGAGAAACTTTGTTTCTTCGAGTCTTCTTCCTATTGGCCATTGTATGAAGCAATTCTATAATACATAACGCTACACTCGTATAATTCGCTATAACTCGTCGTACTGTCCTTATACATGTGGCTTTTCCTATTCCAAATCTAGTATATATATATTGATCTGAAATAATATTATGACTTAAACGCGGACTGAGTTGATTTATTAATATTAACAACAAGTATGATAATTTATACCTATACGAATCTGGTGTTACTATAATGTAACTAAAAGCTGTTTCTCTGGAGTAATTATTTGATTACCATCTGCAGCAGTTCTTTTCAGATACTCAGATGATCTCTCCTAAGAGAAATTCAAATGTTGTAGGTAACATTCTGAAAAATGAAAAATACTAATAATGTAATAATTAATGTCATTTTTTTTTAATGCTGCTCATAAAATTATCTATTATATTTTCGTATAATTTATAAATTAGATGACTCTTGTATGGATTTAATAAAAGAACAATAAATATAAAATATACTGAATAGTAATTGACAATAATGTCAATTAGTCAATAATCGTTTTCAAGTTTTTTCTTTTTGCTATCACATAAAATAAAAAAATTTTAATTGCGATTTTACCTGAAATGACTCTTGAATTCCATGGCAGTAAGTGACGGGACAATGTGTTCTACATAGCCAATTCTGGGCGTATTTGTTTGCTTTGCCTCTTTCAAAATTTAACAACTTATTATTAATTGAATTTCTTCTTCATCATTTTCATATATACAAGTTGATATGTCGTTAAATGTATTCAAATTAATTAAAATTGGAACTGAATTTAATTCCATCACAATGAAATTTTCTTTATGATTACAATACAAGAATCGGATTTCCTTTGTATAAGTTAAGATTGGCATCAATCTCATGCAACGAAAATTAAAATTCATATGGCGCTACAAATGCTACAATCGGTCCACTAGCGTAGCGATTGCAGCATTCGTAACATTAGTGGACCAATCGGAGCGTAGCGTTTGGAGCATCAAGTGGACCGCAGCCTAACTTAATCGACGATTAGCTCAATCAACAGAATTATTATTATAGATAGAAGATTTTCATTACTTTTATCAGTTAAGTATAGGAACGCAGAGATAAAAGTATATCACAAAGAGATAAGGTTAAGAACAATATACAGTCTTGCTGTTGAGTTAATCGTCGATTGTCGAAGTCAGAAAAGAACTGACGTTATTTGTCATTCTAATATCAAAATGATTGCAAATAACGTTATTTCTCTCTCTCTCTCTCTCCATCTGGGAATGTGTAGGTTTATTGCGTTGCATGCTCCAACACATACACATTATAGGATATTAGTTTTCTGTCAGACCATTTGAGGCGCGACGATTATCCTCCATTTCCATTATTCAATACAGAGCTCGCATTTCTCTTTATATATGTTCTGTGGAATGCTCTGCTGCTCGCAGTACTGCGTAAACGAATGACAAACTGCGCTGTAGTTGTCTTTGCAAGTTGAATATCGTGCTGTTCATAATACCGCCAACCGCCTATAATAGCCGATTGTATTACTAAAAATAAATTTTATTAAAATATTAAAAAATGGAAAGAGCTAAGAACAATTTGTCGAAATCGATTCTACTAAAGTGAAAATAATACAATATTTATAATGGAAAAGGTGTGTTTGCTAATTTGTATTTGCGATCAGATTAATCTAAAAATCACGCTTTTTGAATGTAGATTGAAAATATTAACATATATAAGAATTATAAACTTTTATGAATAAATTTTATAATATTTTGGCATTTATTTAATATTTCCGGATTTTTAAGCCTAATTTCACAATTCATAGTTAACTCTTAACCGAGATTCAACTCAATTTTCATCTACTTTCAATTCTATCATTAGAATGAGATGAATAAGTTGAAGCCAGATTCATAAGCCAGATATTCATAATCAGAGTTTATATTCAAAATCGTTTTAAGTACGGTCTTAAGAAGTCATAAACTATTCAGAGGGCTGCATTAGCGTCTTAAGACATTACTTAAGACCGTGTTGAAATAAAAATCGATTCTGAATATCGACCTTAAGAGTTAACCATGAGTTCTGAAACTGATACCTTATTTTTGAACACATAAATAATTTTTACATACGAAAATGACAGTTTCTCGATTATGATTGATCGATTATATATGAAATTGCTATTTCCGTATGCGATATTTGTTCAAGAATAGAGCCTCTAGGCCTTAATTTTCAATCAGCTTAGTTTTTTCAGATTTTCTATTGGAAGATACAATCCAGTACGATATGAGCAGCTATTCATGCTCATGCAGAGGTCCATTCCGTAAATTTAGGGAATCAATCATGAAAAAAACTTTATCCCTAGGATGGAAAGTGAAACATGAAAATTTTTACTATTGAAGTTAATGGAGAAACTTTTCACTTTTCATCCTAGAGAAAAAAGTTTTATGATTGATACCCCCCTGCTGCAAATTCCTATGGGAAATTTTCCTATGAGTTTGTCTAATCATGGGTATCCATGGTAGATTCGAATGGTTCCCATGAGAGGAGGCTCTTATCTTGCTGTAAACTCCATGGATTTTTTCATGTGTTTTTTCCTATAGAGAAACTGTAAAATTCTGGCTGTGTTCCAAAATTTACTGCCAATACCGAAAATCTACAACTTTCGTTACGTGAATTATAGATTTTCAATACTGACAATAAATTTTGAAACAGTCTCTGTAGGAGCTTGTATAGTGTAAACAATTAATGACAACAGAGAAAAATATCAGGGCATTCCTCGTCTCGAACCCAAGTCTCTCCTTCGAGTTGGTAGACTTCCGTCTTGCCACTGAGCCACACAGTCCGCTGATAGCTTCTTTGTTGTGCCTATTTCCTTTAAATTTCTTACAATACCTATAGGATTTAAACAGCATGTATATATAGAATAATATAGGAAATTTTTGTACAAGGTTTTACATAGGAATCTGTGACATCCAGTCCATAAAAAGAGGCTCCTATAAAATAGCATGGAAAAAAGAATGATGTACACGTCATTGATGCAATCCTAAATATAGGATGTCCCGTATTTGGGACTATTTTCGTGTACAGATAGATTAAACTGTCGAAAAGTCCTGTATCATTATGTAATTTTCACAATAGTTATATAGTTTCTAAAAATTATTGAATAAACGGGTAAAATCGACGCATAAGATATTTTTCAGAGTTCTTTATGACGTATTTTAAAGATATTTTTCAAAGAACTCTTAAAGATACCTTAAAGTTGTTTAATGCGTCGTGATTGACATTCTGTTCATTGGGTAATAATTGCAAAAATTGCAAAATGATAGAGGACCTTTCAGTTCAGTTTAATTCGTTCTATCTGCACACAAAAATAGTTCCAAATATTCTGAGACACCCTGTATAGTCCCTATAATTTACATATTAGACAAAATATTATACACAAAATGTTATAACAGTAGCCGACTGATGTAATTAAACGTAAAAATCTAAGATAATTTTTCTATAACTACAAAAATTTAAAATCACGTGATAAACAAAGTGTGTTTGGTGACTCAAAAAAGTCATGAGTATATATTTTCTTTATCAGTCAGGACTTTTTTTATTCGACATGGAACGTACCTCATTTATTAACTATTATCGTGGCTTCTAGTTTTTACGAGTTATGAATTATTCTCTCAAATTGATATAGGTACCTATAGGAATGCGGAAAATATGCCTTATGGGGAATATCTATATCTATAGGAAAATATCTATAGGATACTACACTTTGTATAGGAACATGTAGGTGCACATAGAACAGGAGATGTGCATACGTCATCCTAGCTTATAGACATGCTAGCTTATAGGCATTTTCAGTTTCCTTGAGGCATCTCTTCTTTGTCTTACGTACGCTTACATATTACTATATGTCAAACTTGTATCCTATAGACCTTTTAATTCTCATGGGGCATCTGTCTACGTTCCTGTAGGTACCTCTATTACCCTATTTGCATTCCTATGAATGTCCTACGTACACCTATGCATGCTGCGCCAACCCTATAAATAATTACACAAACTTCTACCGAATCTTGTAGTCCTCTATAGCAACCTAAAATATAAAAAAACCCATAAGAATTTGTGAACAGGGCCAGATCATGTGAGCAAATGAATAAGCAGTGCATGCGCTATCCACTGCATAAACAATTGCACCCTATGAACCCTGCTTCCGAGGTGGGTTGAAAGAGTAAACCGTTGCGGAACTAAATTTGAATAACATACGGCTTCGACGTAAATAAGTTATATAACAATCTGTGCGTATAAAAATAATAAATAATGGCGGTAAAGCTTGATAATACCCCGGTCACCTCAAATTTTGATAAAAATAGATTCAATCTATGCATTTTCGCGTAAAAATAAAGATTCCACAAGAAAATGTGTCGCTCTATGAATCGAAATATTAAGTGTTAAAGTTAACGACTATTAAGATTAGGAAATCTGTTACAACCACGAATGCAAGCATACGCTGCGGGTCACAATTATTCATTACTTTAAATTCTCTGCTCTAAAACACATTCACTACTTTAAAACAAATTCTCTGCTCTAAAACAAAAAATTCACTACTTTATAAACAAAAACACAAAAATAAAATAAGAAAATAATTTGTGTTTTTAAAGTAATAAATTTGTTTTTTTAAGTAGTGAATTTGTTTTTAAAGTAATAAATTAGTTTTTAAAGCAGAAGATTTGTTTATTAGAGAATAGCTTGTAATTTCCTGGGAAAAAATGTTTTATATATAATTATATAAAATTATATATATGATTATATAGAATTAGATATAATTATATATAAAGTATGTCTGTTTATATATTATACAAATATATAAAGTTATAAATAATTTAATATAATTATATATAAAATATTTTTTCTCGGATTAACATTTATATCTGTAAATAATTTACGAACAGAGAAAAATATTAGGACGCTCCTCGTCTCGATCCCAGGCTCCTCTACTCCGATTTGATAGACTTTCGTTCTGCTACTGAGCTACACAGTCTTGACGCTGTTGGTATATCTGTTGTGTCTATATCTAGTAAATTTCTTACATACTTTAACTTTTTTTTATATGGATTAAAGTATTCATATCCAGCATTTCTTTAAAATATACGTTATAACTGTAAACGCGGCTTCGACTAAATAATCCTATAAATTTTGAAAAATGTTACAAATTTTTCATAATATATTATATAATTCGTTAATTAAAATAATATTACTTCATGATTTAAATGAGGCATATCCGTCCAGGCTGAGCAATCTTTCGAGACTCTCCAACTTTTTTGTGTTCTAAATTTGTCCGATTCGAGTAACTTACTCAAGGTGCCTACTAATGGACACAACAAATGCCGAGCGCGGCATTTTAGAAGGAAAAACTAGATTCTAGAAGCTAGTTCCTTCTAAATCATTCTGCTTCTGAATCATTCTGCGTTGCAAGTGAAGTTGGATTAATCCAATTTCATTTACGGCAACGCAAAAGTGGCTACTTGTGCGAAATTCAAAAGAAAAGATTCAGTGATGGCTGAAGTGAATCGAGATTCCAAAAGTTAGTTATATTTATTAGGTGTATGACTTTGCTCATTCGGTTTTCGTATAGATGGCTTTAGCGGTAAGTGGTGATCGAAATAAATAGATCATAGACGTCACACAATAAACTTGGGAATCTGTCAACATAATCCAAAAAGAAACATTAGTCGATTTGTGTCTGCATCATAAAGTTATTCCCGATTGAAAATGTCAGTTTACGAGCCAAATTCTTGTCATCTGCGGGAGGTTTTAATTTTCTGCTTCAATATGAAGAAATCTGCGACTGAGGCTCATCGAATGCTTTCAAATATTTATGGTGAAGCCGCTATTAGTGAAAGAACGTGTCATAAGTTTCAACACTTCAAGAACGGTGATTTTCACATCGAAGACCAGCATAGCGGTGGAAGAGAGAAGGTTTTTCGAAGATGCAGAATTGAAGGCATTACTTGATCAAGACTCTTGTCAAAAT